GATGTACAAGTCAGTGTTTTTATCTTCCCAGACAAGTCTGGTATCAATTAACCATGGAGGGATGGAAAGTTTGTTGATCTAGACGATGCACGACTCAGGGTTCAATCCCCGCACCCTAGCATATAGTGCACGGAAATGAAAATAGAAATTGAGAGGCTCAGCAAAGAGAGGGCCTGATCGCGCTACACACTGTCCTCATAATTTTGGCTCGCCCTGTATATTCTTGAGTGAAGGTGATCCACTGACGCCAATGCCCCACGCATGGCCCTGGTCCCGGAACTGAATTTGCACCGAGCTCTCACCACTGCGGTCAGTGTGTTACCCGAACATGCGTTGAGATGCTAACATGATTACAAAAGAGCATCGATTTTGGTGGCGTACTCCAAACAGACTAATCGAAGCCGAACTATTCATTTTTCCAAGATTGCATTTCAGGTGTCGATCGGTGGCGATGTTTCACGAGTGGACACCATGACATCGGACTGGGTAGGCCATCGGCTGTTGCTGGTGTCCGGTCAGGCACTGTATCAACTTCCACTTGATGCGTTCCTTACAACGTCACTGCTAACTCCTAGAAAGCTAATTGAACTCTCAACTGGAGCCACCGACGCCAAACAGCTGACTTTTGATCCTTTCAAGAAGTGGGCAATGTGTCTTTTGTTGCGCTCATGAGAGCACCTAAGATTTTACGTAGCAAGTAGCATTTTTAAAGTCTTAAGCAAAAAATTTCAAGCACTGCCTACTTGCTAACACGCAATGGGTCGCTGTTTCTGCTGAACCTCGCTCGAAGTCACGAGAAAAATCTAGGCACTGGTTGTACCTTGCCTGACGAGTCAAACGGTCACGTGGATGATGACAGGTGAGAACGAAAGCATTTTAATTCGAATTTTGTTTCAAATGGTCAATTACTTTGGGTCTGGTGTAGAGGAGGGAGGGGGAGCTCTTTTGCCGTGCGATTGCAGAAAGATTTCTGAGGCTGATGTCGGGCTTTGCGAGTCGAGCGGTTAGCTACTAGCGATTCGGAAAGTCTGACATCGCTCTGAAAGGGAACAAAATATCGTAGCTTAACTGCAATGAGGACCCGCGATAGTTACGTGTCGGAG